AGCCTGGATTTTATCAGGGTCGGCCCTTATCTTGACACACTCTATTATGTACCCAAGGAAAGCAACCAATGTTGCCTTAAACTTACATTTTTCAGCTTTGACAAATAGACAATTCTCTAATTCTCTAGTGTTGGAGAACCAAACGAACATGCTGATGGTGTTCAGCCAATGTAGGAGAGAAAATCAAGATATCATCTACATAGACAAACATGAACAGGTTGATAAAGTCCTGGAGGACATCACTGACCAGTGCGTGGAACACTGTGGGAGCATTGGTGAGCCCAAATGGCATTACTTGATATTCATCATCATGATGATATTCAAAGTGGTCCAAGAGGGGTCTTGAATGCAGTCTTCCATTCATCACTTCTCATATGCGGACTAGATAGTATGCATTTCAAAGATCAAGTTTCATGAACACCCTAGCTCCCTGGAGTGACTCAAAAGTTGAGTTAAGTAATGGCAGTGGGCACTTGTTTTTAATGGTAATAGCGTTTAATCCTTAGTAGTCACTACAGGGTCTTAAAGAACTGTCTTTCTTGTCTACAAAAAAGCCTGGTCCCAGTGGAGAAGAGGGACAGATGAGTTTAGCCTGTAGAGCCTCATTAGTGCATTTTTCCATTCTCTGTCTTTCTGGTTTGACACACTATAGAGTTTGCTTGTGGGTAACGGGGCTCCCTGGAGGAGGTCTATGGCACAATCATAAGGGAGAGGGCAAGGTCTTTGCTAAATACTTCCCCAAGATCATGATAGATCTTGGGCACTTTAGAGAGGTCAGGTGGCTCAGGTTTAGGATCCTTGGAGCATGGAACCAGGGGAGGCAGAGCAGACTGTAAAGTAACAGATGAACAATGGTCACTCCACTGGTTTATAGTGCCAGTGATCCAGTCTATTTGAGGGTTGTGACGTCTTAGCCATGTGTGTCCAAGAACGAGTGGTGAATTGGGGGTATTAAGAACAAAAAGTTGGATCTCTTCCCTGTGGTTGCCTGAAAGAATGAGTGTTATGGGTGACTCTAGTCATTTGTCAGCCATCTAGGCCATTAGCCATGAGGGGGTTTATCTAAAGGCTCTAGTGCAATGTTAAGCTGTGTCGCTAACTCATGATCAGTAACACTATCATCCACCCCTAAGTCCACTAAGGCTTGTAATGATCCAAATAGAGCAAGGCTGGCAATCTAAGATTTGTCAGGGTTCCTTTGTGAGGGTTACAGCATCCCACCACAATCCCCACACTTAATGATGGAACTTGCCTTTTGGCAATTGCATTTGTTGAAATTGGTCCACCTGTCCAAGCAGGGCACCTTGGTGGGTCAGAATTGAACGCATGGACGGTACCCTGGGTTCTGAGTCTGTGAAGTCCATGATGTTGGCCAGTCAGTTCTGTTATGGTGCAGGCACCAGTTCAGGGCTGAAGGACTCAAAGGCAGACTATGAAGGACAGTGAATCAGAGCTTTATTGCAGATAAGAAATGATGTGCTTAGCAGACCTCTCCAAACCCAACATTTCGGTGTGAATGCAACCTCAGGGCAGATAGCAGACTCTGGTGTCTTCCCTGGGGTTGGTGGGGGGTTGCAGGTTGGTTGTGGTTCAGGACTGGTGGAGTGAGATAGCAGGTTGTTGGGGGGTGCAGGGCAGAAGCTGGTCCAGGAGACCTCTCAGGCAGTAGCGAACAGATGCAGGTTGGTCGTGGTTCTGAACTGGAGAGGTGAGGTAGCGGGTCATCAGGAGATGCAGGCCAGAAGATGGTTCAGGCAGCCAGATGGTAGTGAAGAGGTTCAGGTTTGTACCATGTCATAGTCTTGGGTGATAGCCAGGCTGTAGCTTGGCTAACAGGAAAGTACAGTCACTTTCCCCTACTGTGAAGGGCCATCAATTGGCAGATGACCTGAATGCATTCTACTGCAGGTTTGAGAATCAACACTCCCCCCTCACCCTCCCCACCTCAGACCCAGCAGCTGCTCCCCTGACAATCACCACCCTTCCCCCCTTCTCTAATGATCTGCAAAAAGGATGTGCATGGCCTCTTTAAAAAGCAAAAGATCACAAAGGCACCAGGCCCAGATGGTGTGACCCCCTCCTGCCTGAAAGTGTGCACCGATCAGCTGGCTCCCATCTTCACACTTATTTTCAACAAGTCACTGGAGGTGTGTGAAGTCCCCTCTTGCTTCAAACGCTCCACCATCATCCCAGTCCCCATGAAAACCTCCATCAGTTGACCGAATGACTACAGACCTGTTGCCCTGACATCTGTAGTTATGAAGTCCTTTGAAAGACTGGTGTTGGCCCACCTGAAGGACATCATAGACCCCCTGCAGTTTGCCTACCGGGCAAGCAGGTCAGTGGATGATGTAGTCAACATGACACTGCAGTACATCCTGCAACACCTCAACTTCCCAGGGACCTATGCATGGGCCCTCTTTGTGGACGTCAGCTTGGCATTCAACACCATCATCCCGTACGTCCTCCACTCCAAATTGACCCAGCTCACTGTGCCTGCCCCCACCTGTCAGTGGATCACTAGCTTTCTGACAGACAGGAAAGAGCAGGTGAGGCTGGGAAAACCAAATCCAGCAATTGGAAAAATCACTGATTTAAATAGGATAAGCAAGTTGGCAAAATCCCAATCTGCTGACTAAGTTCCTCTTCACAGCAGATTATAAAATATCTAGTCCAACACTGATGTGTAATTCTCATTAGGTACCCGGACAGCAATGCTTCATCTGTTGACTGTACCCTACGACCCAAGATCAACTGACAGCAAGGTCTGCTGTGGCCCATCTCTGTCTGCTGTAGCTAGCTGACCAGGGAGCTGACGATGCTGCTGCTGATGAAGATGATGGTGCTGTTAAAAGCCTTTAAATGAAACACAAGAGAAACACCACAGTTCCACACCAGACCAAAAGATGGGATGAGCAGAGCCAGGCAAAACCACAGGTATGTAACTGAGCCGGACGGGCGAGTGTGTTTGGGGCTACAGTACATGACTGAATATATTCCAGATGTCACTTTACAAAGATGACGTCTGATGAACATGTTACTCAACAACCGTTGGCCAGACAGCAATTAAGTCCAATATAAATATTTCTGGTAAGCCATAAGATAAATCCTATTTTTTTTGTCATCTCATGGTCTAGTGCCGCCATCACAACAGAAGTTAATGAAAGTGTCTGAATTCTATTGGTAATTATCAGACACATAAAGAACTGTTTGGACTCCTCCCCTCTGGACATTGTTACAGGTCACTGTGCACCAAGACAACCAGACACTTGATTTTTATTTTTATTTTTCTAATACCATTCCTTTTTCTTGTTTGCACATTTGTTTTCTTTTTGTTCTCTCAGCCTTATCTTGTTTACTTGTCTACTCTTTGCTTTACAGAAGAACATTGTACATATACATTGAGAGCAGCTGCACCGGGGTCAAATTCCTCATGTGTCCAACACACCTGGCCAGTAAAGCTGATTCTGATTCCATTATGAATGAATGACGAACGAGTGACTGGTGTCATCACATGTAAACATCCGGGTTCATCGATGGCAAGATCACTGCGTAGTAGTGATGAATTTCTCTGCTCAGTCGCTAGTCTGCTGTGTTTACACCTCAACATTTGGTATCACCTCAGCTCGCTTGGAGCCTTGACGGAGGTGATACCAAAAACAGTACCACGTACCTGGTACCATCCTCAACATTTGACTGATGTAAAACAAATAAGGCGAGCAGAGTCGAATCAAGTTGAGCCAGTACCAGGCGGTGGAAAAGGGGCATAAAATGTACCTGGTGGCTTCTTTCCAAGTCTGTTATAAGCATCAGTGAGGTTTCCCTCACTTGCGTTTTGTTAGGTATTTTTAGTCAGATAGATATTGGTCAGGTACTTTATGTATTAGAAATATTTAGTGGAGTCAGGATGTCTAGGTAGGCTGTTAAATGCTTAGTCATTCTCATGAGTTTTTTGCAGGGTGTCATGATTCGGTTCCGCTGCTTCCCGTCCGGCTTTTATTTGACATTACTTCCCGTTTTTGTTTCACCTTAGTTTCGGTCTTTTTACGTTCTTCATCACTCACATTAGTTTCACCTGCTTCGTTATTGTTTGCACCTGTTTACACCTCTATTTAGGCAGCGTCCTCCCACAAGGACGCTGCCAGATTGTTCTAGACCCCAGCTCTGACATTCCAGCATTTTCTTCGGTATTGGTATTTTGTGTTTCTGACCCGGACTGTTACCTTAGTATATTCGTTTCTGCTTTGCCCTCTTGTCTCGGACTGCCACAGTGTATGATATCGGACTTCCCTCTGGACTATGCATTTTGGATCACCTCTGTTGGATGTGTTTGCTGGCTCTGACCTCGGACTGTTAAGGACATGTGAGTTTTGTGTTTTCACCGTGTCTTGTATGGTTTTCTTTTGTTCAATAGCTCCTCTCTCGGCACTCTGTCGTACGTTTTCTCTAACAAAGACACAATGCAGCTCCTTACGAACATCTCTATACTTCTCCATTAACATTCTCAGAGCAAAAATTGCATCAGTAGTGCTCTTTCTGGGCATGAAGCCATACTGCTGCTCACAGATATCCACTTCCTTTCTTAGCCTAGCTTCCACTACTTTTTCCCATAGCTTTATTGTGTGGCTCATCAACTTTATACCTCTGTAGTTGTTATGGTTTAGGTCCCCTCACCAGGAGGGTGAGGGCAAACTGAGGTAGGACTCAAGATGGCTGACCCAGGTGCTAGTAAAAAACTGGTGGTTTTAATGGTAGGGATTACAAAAGAAAAAAGAACAGAGTCAATGAATACATATCACCAGGGCTGAGCAAAGATGGCAGAGGAGAACAGGACAAACAGGTACAAAAATAAACTAACAGCAGGAGGATGAGGACGGACAGGTGAATAGACAGGCTAACCTCAAGGACTGGCAAATAAAAAGAATATCCACAGCACAGGAACTATCAGCGTGGATGTCTAACACAAAAAAACACATAACCAACGTACATAATGAGATCCACAGCACAGGAACTGTCAGCTAGGAAATCAAAATGCCGTACAATACATACCACGAACGATGGTCTGTCATGGGGTATGCGAGTTACAGTAGTTACTTTACTGTAGGTATGGTAGTTACGTAATGTAATGCTCCAGCGACGGCAGCGCGTCTACCAGGGGTTTAAGTAAGGAGGAAGGTGATTCAGGAAATGCGCATCAGCTGTGTGCCACATGTTACACAGCTGACTTGTAATAATGTCACTGATTATTACATGCGCAACAGCTGAGGCGCCGAGCCTGCAGGACGAGAGAGCAGAGGAGAGAAAGGCAATAGAGTGGCAGGTC